AAGGAGGAGGGTGAGGAAGAGGATAGAGAGAGAGGGAGAGGTTCGCAAGAGGAGAGAGAGAAGGGAAGGGGAGAGGGAGAGGAACAGAGAGAGAGAGAGAGATAGTGATATATAGATAGTCCACATCTCTCTCTTAAAAGGATTCACCCTTTTTCCACACACAAACCATATACAACTGCCACGTTATGATTCCTTATTCAATAATTCCCACCGCCTTTTCCCCTCAGCTCTTCTCACAGCCAACCCCTCCCACGGAGACGAGAAGGCGGTGAGCTACGTGACGGACTGCAGCACGCACCAGCAGTACCAGCTGTACTACTACCGCACCTCCCCTGACGGCATGTACACCTTCACCTGGCGAGAGTTCCAGCTGGGGGTCGACTACTCCAACCTCACTGCTTTGGAGCTGTACCTTGAGGGCAGCTGGATACCCAATTTCTAAGATGGATTATTTGATCTATCATGCATCATATTTGTTTATATAATAATCTTGTTGAAGTGTTTTGCTCAAAACTGCTGTCATCAGTAGACCTATAAATATAATCTAGATTATTTTGGTATTTGTAATCCCTGTTATATTTACTCATTTCTTGTTTATCTGTATCATTTTATTTAAAAAGATTCCGTCTGAAGGGGGAAAATGTGTATTTGCACTTAATACAAATTACTGTGAAGATTTATTAACAAGAAAACCAATAAAACTGTCAAATCATCTCTAAAGTGCACACACACACACACACACACACCACACACACACACACACACACACCACACACACACACAACATATATATATATATATATATATATATATATATATATATATATATATATATATACATATACATACACACACACAAATATATCTTTATGCACACACATACACACACACACATATATTATACATATATATACACACATCTTTATGTACACACACACACACACACACACTTGTCTTTGGGTGAAAGAAGTACAAGTGAAATTTCGAATTTTAAATGTAAGGAAATATAAAAAAAACGCATAGGTAAAAACGCAAGCAAGATGATGAGAATGAAATATTTACTTTCACTACAGGTTTTCTGATAGATCAGAAATTAATATAATAATTACTGACGTCTGTATGGGTTGTTAATTATTATCTTTGTGCGAGAATTAGTATTACCTTCATTAGTGTTGTCATTATTATTGCTATTGTTATGTTACATGACTTTTGGTTAAAGTTACATACGAATACCCATCAATATAATTCTTGTTTTTAATATTACTATCATTACGCGTCATTGCTGTTGTTATTCTGAATATGAAGCTTATGAGCTTTAGAATACGTTTATTAAAAATATTTAGGGGTAAACGGTTAACAATCATTACTAGTCTGGTCTGTGAATTTATTTCTATCTGTATAACCTGTGATTCACAGAGTCATCAGTGACAAGATTAATAAATCCCAAGTTTTACAAAACATTGCGACTTTCCGGATTGCCATTAATTTTGTAAAATCTTATCAGAAATATTCTGATTAAATATCTTTCAGATGTACTTCACTGTCATGCACCATTTATTACCTCTTAAATATTAAAAGCCACATATAACAGACATCTTAACTGCCACCGGAAAAAGATGACAAATACTCGACTATCGTGCACCGGAATCTTTTCAAATAATTGTTTTTGTCAGCATTTCATTGCTCTTCCCATAGAATAGTAACTAAATACGTGTATTGGTGAAGTAAATAAGGTATTCTGTTAAGACTTCATGATAGAAGTGTCTCCTCTCGATTAAGTATTGTTATAAAGGGGAAAAAGGAAAATAAAAATATCCATTTCCCTTTTTAAAAAAAATTCATTTGTTAATCAAGATTTTTTTTTTCGTCCTTTTAACTTCTTTAGTTATCTTGCCATTTTCACTGTTATAATCACTATGGTTATTGTTATCAATGCCTTTGCAATTATCATCATATTACAGACTGAAACAGTTCTCTTTCTCTCTACCTCTCTTTCTAAACACAAACACACACACATAAATATACACACACTTACACACACACACAACACACACATATATACCCATCTCTATCTCTCTTCTCCTCTCTCTCTCTCTCCCTATCCCTGTGTATATGTTTAAAATTATATTAATATTGTGGTAGCATTAAAATACCAATAATAATAATAATGATGTTTACACTTAGTGTCCATTATCAAACTTATTACTTTTGGCAGTCTAAAAGAAAATAGAAACAAGACATGACTAGTATTATCAATGTTGTCATCACTATTTAACAACACCCATTAATATAATCTATCACCACGCAGTAAGTCCATTATTATTATCACAAATGATTATCATGACCTTTCATTGGGTTAAGAATGACTGTAAGCAAGTTTTAGACATAGTTTCTCTCTGCAACGTCTAAGTCCCAGACGATTCCGCTACTGCCACAAAAACTTAATATATAATGAGGCAAGTTGGGCTTTTATACCTCCTAATTGATCTCCTTTCGTCTTTTCCCACCGTTATCGTTGTTGTTATACTGGTTGCTTGTACTGAAAAAACAAGACTAATTGTGTTGATCGTTTTACATCAATTTCTATCAGTACCTATCATTATATGTATTTTTAAAATTAGTTATCATCAAATAAGAAGTCTCATAGCTGACTTTATTCTTATGACATATTGTTATAGCATATACATCACATAGAGATCAATGATACTCTCTAACGATCATAGGTTTGCATAATTTTTCAAATATAAAATACAAAATATTTATAATTAATCCTTTCCGTCAGAGACGTGTTATTGTAAGGAAATATATTCCTTACTACTGATGACTAACCGAGTCTACAGGATAGAGGTAAATAGTTTTGTCATATCGAAAACAATTATATTAATAATGATAACAATCATCATTATCATTATCATTTTTATTATAATGATAATAGTAATGATGGTAAAATAGTAGTACTGATGATAATGTTAATGATATTATTAATGATAACGATAAATGTAATAATAATAATGATATCAATTCAGATAAGAATGAATAAGTAATAATAATAACAATAATAATGATAATAATAGCAATAATAATAATAATAATAATAATAATAATAATAATAATAATAATAATAATAATAATAATAATAATAATAATAATAATAATAATAAAATAATGATAATAATAATGATGGTGATATTATAATGAATTAATAATAATAATAATAATAATAATAATAATAATAATAATAATAATAATAAATGATAATAATATAAAATAATAAAATAATGATAATAATAATAACGATAATAATGATAATAGCAATGATAATAATATTAAGGATAATAACAATAATGACAATGAAAATATTAATAATGATAATAATAATGATACTAATGATAATTAGAATGATAATAATAATAATAAATGACAATTATGATAATGACAACAATAGTTATTATAGTAACGATAATGATGATGATAATGCTGGTAATAATGATAATGATAATAATAGTAATAATTCTACAAGTAATAATGATAATAATGATAATAATAACAATAATGAGGATGATAATAATAATAGTTATACATGATATAATAATAATAATAATAATAACAATAATAACAGTAATGAAATGATAATAATGATAATTATAGAAATGATGATAAACAGTAATGATAAGATAGATAGATAGATAGATAGATAGATAGATAGAGAGAGAGAGAGAGAGAGAGATGAAGAATTATGTGGGAGCAATTATTTAACAGGTTTAACCATTATAGTTTACAAAGCCTCTTTCATCTGTATAAATCTATAGTCCCGGAGTCAGCAGTAATTAGGTATTAATATCTATCTTCACATACAAAGAAGAAATAATATTTGTAATGTTTAAAATATAAGCTCTCCTTAAAACGTATCTTCTATATTGTCAAGATGTAAACGATAATAATTAATTCCGATGGCGGAATATCTTTATCACTTTTGTGGCCGTACATATAGTACAGGCATATATATATATATATATATATATATATATATATATATATATATGTGTGTGTGTTGTGTGTGTGTGTGTGGTGTGTGTGTGTGTGTGTGTGTGTGTGTGTTATTATGTTATGATAGCACACACACACACATCTATATTTATATATATGCGTGACACCCAAAAGCTGTCTCATATATGTATATATATATATATATATATATATATATATATATATATATAATATATATAATATTATATATGTACACACAAACACACACATATATATACACACATATCATTCACCCTTTGCTTCCATCCACGAGGGTCCCTCATGACGAGTCGTCAGGCATCCCCTCGGCGCATTTCTCTTTTTTCATGACAGGTCTTCTCGAGCTGCACAAGCCACGGCTTCTTGGCTCTTCCCTTAGGCCTCCTCCTCGCAGGATTGTCTCATTAAAAAAGATAATCTGAGGGGCTTGAGTTCCCGGTCACGGATTATGCAAGTAACGGGACCCATGCCAGTCCCATGGTGGAGTCGCCGGTTGGACACACTGCCAACTGACCCCCTGACCCGGCGTAGGGACTTGTTGCAAAGGTCATCGAGGCGTGATTCCAAGGCACTGGATAACGTCCAGGTTTCGCTTCCATAAAACAAATGGCACTGAGACTGAAGCACGTTTTTGGCTTTGTGTCTCTTGTTGCTGTGTAAGCTCTTATCGATGTATGTAAATTTGACGTGAAAGAGGCGTCCTATGTCATTGTTATTATTCTACTATGATTATAATAATTAGTATTATCCCCATCATTACCACTATTATTATCATTATCCTTGTTCTCATTGTTGATATGCCCATTTATCATTGCATGTATTTGCTTCTCTTACTGAGAGAGAGAGAGAGAGAGAGAGAGAGAGAGAGAGAGAGAGAGAGAGAGAGAGAGAGAGAGAGAGAGAGAGAGAGAGAGAGAGAGAGAGAGAGAGAGAGAGAGAGAGAGAAAGAGAGAGAGAGAAGACCTCCGTTTGAGAGAGAGAGAGAGAGAGAGAAAGAAAGAAAGAAATTCGTTCGTGTAAAGTTATGCGAACGTCGTATTTACGTTTTCGTAAAATCGTCAGCTGATTCCCACAAATTCCTCCCGGACTTCGTTTAAAAAAAAAAACATGTGTAAGTCTATTGCCAAGTATGGGAAACAGGAGCATCAATATTTCTTTTACCGTTTAATAAGTGTGTGATTTAGAGTCAATTGAATAAACTTGACGTGATTTTCTTTTTATATTTAAGTGAGGAAAGGTTGAAGATGTGTTAATTTTATCTCTTCGCTGTGATAAATTCTTTTCATTTATTTCATCTACTATTGTTGTTTTTTTAGTAATTGTTTTGGAATTTTGAGTTTTAGGATGATTAGTTCCGTAAGATTTCTTGTTCTAGCCATTGAACTCTGACATTATAATTCTTTTTTGGGAGTGAAATATTCCTTGTCTTTTTTAGTTATTATGCCGTCTTTTTTATTTCTGTTGCACTTGACATGTTGGTTTAGGGTTGGGTTATCTCTCGGAATACCTACGCAGACCAATCGCGATGAGTTTAGGGTTGATGGATTCTTCTCACTCTTTGTTATCCTAGTATATAAAAATTGTGTTTCGGAAATCCACTCAACACCCACAATCTTGGTCCCGATAGTATGGGAGCGCATGAATGGTACCAGGGAAATTACAGAGTAAATTACTAATAATATACTGAAAATTGGTCAGTATATAATCAAATCAAGCATTGGACGAACTCAGCATTGGGCCTCCGACATGTTGGTTGTGTGCTCTCTTGCCGTAAATACGTGGAAGATTCTTCGGTCTTTCATTGCAGAAGTTGGGGGCCGCTATTCGTCCAGGAAGTGGGGGTCGCAAGGGGCACGGCCTCCTGCATTAGACATTATAGTGACTGATTCTGTGTATTTTATTAATATTTTCCTCCCACAATTTCCATGATACCTCCTGTACCCTCTCTATCAAGGCCAATATTGTTGCTGATGGGTGGGGTTCTACTGCATAATTGATTTCAATATATTTGGATAGAAAATGAGAGGAATCCATACCAAAATTGTTACAACCAGTTCTGTGAAGGTCCTCTGAAAAATTACTGATGGTTGTTATGTTGTTTTCTGTTTATTTGACTTGTTGGTTTGGGTTTGTTATGCAGTTGTTTCAGTTTCGACTGAAAAGTAATTTGTATCTCCCTACACCAATGTTGATTGCATAAGGAAAAGTCATATATATATATGGTTGATCTTGTACTGAGTTTTGTTTATTTCTGTATGCAGTCACTCACACTTATGCATCAAATGACTTGGTTATTATTCATTTTTGAAATATTTAATTTTTTAGTCTTGCTTTCTTATACTGTCATGTGAGTGATGGCTGGTTGAAAACAATCCTTTACCGTTATTTTCAGAGATTTCAGAATGCAATAAGTCAGGTAATGAAAAATGGTAATCAATATCATATCTAATTAAAATATTCAGTGAGAAGTTTCTCTTCCAGGTACTGTAACAACAACTATTGCAGTGCCCTTATCCAGTAGATTAAGTAAATTAAAACTTGATGTGATCGTCGATGCAAGGCCCACAACCCTAAATTTGGTTGAGAATAGTGCAGTGTCACACAACTGCTGGGTCCTTTGGGGCTGTAGTACGATGCATTAATTTTACGCAACATATTTTCTGGGTAAGATTGGTAAATTGCTGGGTAGGCTTAAAAGTTTTATCTGGCTAGTATATAAATGTTGGAGATTTGTTGACCTTTACTGGTGTGCCAAAGGTGTGGAGGCTAATTGTACATGAAAGAAATGGTCATACATGTGAAAATGCAACCCAAACATCTTGTACCTAAAAATATGATAATATATGTCATTCCAAGACAGCACATATACATCACTGATGATTCTGTCATTATTACCTATCCCTATTGCAAACTGAAAGTATACATTAGCTGTAAATAGATGCTTAAAATTTTCCCTTGTATATTTATATTGACTGGATACATGTGCTGCTGCAATACCAGAGAAAATTTATTTATTGCAGTGTTTGTCACATTACTACTAACTCATACATATGCACAAACATACACATTCATGCCCACATGCACATGTACATGCACACCTGCACACACACACACACACACACACACACACACACACACACACACACACACACACACACACACACACACACACACACACACACACACACACACACACACACACACACACACACACACACACACACACACACACACATACACATTACACATACACATACACATACACATACACACACACACACACACACACACACACACACACACACACACACACACACACACACACACACACACACACACACACACACACACACACACACACACACACAGATGAATATATGTATGAATATGAATATGAGATTTATATATGTACATATATAAAGATAGATATAGACACACATACTGATGTATATGATTCTGTATTTTCTGACAAAT